ATGGAAGCAGCAGCTGCATCTGGTAACTGCCGGAAGCTCTTTCAACTCATCCGAGCCACTGGCAGCAAGAAGTCTGGTGTGAGTGAAACAATCTACGAGGATGACGGGATGCCAATCACTAACATCTGTCGACGTCTTGGACGATGGGCGGAATTCTTCGAAGGGCAGCTCAACTGGCCTGCTGTTCTGGCAACATCAACCAGTTTGTCCTGCCCCCCATGGCCGGTGACGACTGATCCACCAAATGAGGCGGAAGTCCGCAAGGAACTCCAACTCTTGAAACGTTACAAATCACTGGGCCCAGATGACTTACCTCCGGATCTTTTTAAAGATGGTGGTGACCTGACTAAGGAATTGACTGTGTTGTTTAGAAAGGTTTGGGAACAAGAAAGTGTTCCAACATCATGGAATGAGTCGATAGTCGTCCCTATCTTTAAAAAGGGTTCGCGTTGTTCCTGCAATAACTATCGGGGGATAAGTCTACTTCCGATTGCGTCCAAACTATTGGCTTCTATCATTCTTCTTAGGTTGTTTAAAACCCGAGAACGATTGACTCGCGAGGAGCAGGCTGGTTTTCGTTCTGGTCGAGGATGCATTGATCACATCTTCACCCTCCGCCAAATGTAAGAACACCGTCATACTTATCGCAGGCCAACAATCGTAGTGTTTCTTGATATCAGGGCGGCCTTCGATTCGTTGGACAGGACTGTTCTCTGGGATTGTCTATTGAAAAAGGGTGTGCCTGAGAAGTTCATTAACATCTTAAAGGCCCTGTATACGAACACCTCAGGCAGAGTGAGGGCATACAACCACCTTTCTCCCTTGTTCCATTCAAACAGTGGGGTGAGGCAGGGTTGCCCGATCTCACCATTCTTCTTCAACTTTGCCATCGACGACATCCTGGAAACAGCTCTGGTGGATGTAAGTAATGGCGGTGTGGATCTGCTACCTGGAGAACGACTTCTCAACCTTGAGTATGCGGATGATATTGTCTTACTGTGCGATAATGCCCAAGGCATGCAATCCGCACTTAATCAGTTGGCAATCAGTGTCCGCAGGTACGGCATGTGCTTTGCACCCTCCAAGTGCAAAGTACTTCTACAAGACTGGCAGGATTCTCATCCTGCACTCACCCCAGATGGTGAGCAGATTGAAGTAGTTGGGAAGTTCGTGTATCTAGGTAGCTATATAAGTGCTGGTGGTGGCGTGAGTGATGAGATTGATGCACGTATAATGAAAGCCAGAGCCGCTTATGCCAATCTCGGCCATCTTTGGCGCCTTCGTGATGTTAGTCTGGCTGTAAAAGGTCGGATCTACAACGCGTCGGTGAGAGCAGTTTTGCTCTATGCTTGTGAAACCTGACCTCTCCGAGTTGAGGATGTTAGACGTCTCTCTGTGTTCGATCATCGTTGTCTCCGAAGGATTGCTGACATCCAGTGGCAACACCATGTTAGTAATGCAGAGGTTTGGCATCGTGTGTTCGGGCGCAGAGACGATAATTCAATTGGTGTCACCATCTTGAAAAACCGACTTCGGTGGCTTGGACATGTTTTACGAATGTCGTCCCAGAGAATTCCACGTCGTGCATTATTTGCCGAACATGGGACTGGTTGGAAAAAGCGGAGAGGAGGTCAGTGTATAACATGGTGTCGTGGCACGAAAGAAAGCTGCAAAGGGCTAGCTTCTGTTGGTCCTTTACGACTCCCTGGTTGGGGTCCGAGAGATGGTGCAACACAGTGGCTAGAGACGTTATCAGATATGGCTCAGAATAGAAGTCAGTGGCGATCCTGCTGCAACCTTCTTTTACTTTCTATATAAAGAATGGTTCTAACTTTTTTAACTGAAAGAGTCTTCTGGTTGTACATTTCAGTCCGCCTTATCTTTTCATCCCTTCTCTTGCTACTTTCATTATTTTGTGTGACGCATATGTATCTGGTGCCCTTTTGTACCAATATATATGTGTTTAAATAAAATTTAAAAAAAATAAATTTCCTTAATATCTTGATCAGACATCTCCCTTTCCAGATTATTGATACATGTTCGTCACCTCAAGTCTTTATGAACAGAACATGGAGCATCATTACAGTTCCCTTTATATCCGACTTCAGTGATTCAATTGGAATCCAGTCTGTTACTTTTCCCTCAACCCTCTCATTTTCTGTTATGCGCTTGTTGATTCCTTTGATTGTTGATGTGTTGGCATCTATGAGGAGATCTGTGTGTGTTGCCTCAATGTTTGACGGATTCAGTGTGTCTAGTGTACTGAAGAGCTCTCCACAATGTATTCCCCACTTATTCTTCCGTTGTTGAATCTCAGTGATTGGACAGCTTTTGTTATCCTAGAATTGTTTTTCTGGTATTCAGTATTTTACTGTTAGCTTTTCCGTTGTATCGTAAAGTGGTTTTGTATTTTCTCCTCTCACAGCCTTTCCAGTCATAGTTCACAGGTTTTCTGTACATTTCCATTCGTCAGTTCCAAAGTTCTTCTACATTCATTTATTTGCTCCTGTGTACACATATTTTCAACTTCTGTTGACTGTTGTCTTTTTGTTCTTTCTTTCTCGAATGCTGCCATTGCTATTCACTGAAATATGATTTCCATGTTGGTGGGTTTTGTGACCCAGAACCTCCTAACACGATGAATTCATCCCATTTTAATCCCTTTGCAGTTGTTCTCTATCCTGATTCTTTGGTGTGTAATTGATGCTGTAAGGATTCGAATTAGTTGCTGTGAGCATTATTGAACTGACTGAGCTTGTTAGGGTCTCGAAGATAGTCTATATGAAAGCTTTATAATACTGTGAATTTTAACATTTATATTAAAATTAATTTTTCATTTTTCAGTTATAATCATGAATGATAGATACTATAATGTATGAAAGAACTTGAACGGGATCAGTTTACAATTTATTAGACACTTTCACTTCCTTTGTCTATTTTCCGTAAAGTCGACTCAATTAAAACATACAAACTGATAAAAACTAGGTAACAGCTAATCATTATCACTGTACAAACCAATTTAATAGAGTCTTTATTGAATTTTATAATACAGAATATCATACATTGCATAGCAACCTATTGTACTAGTGTAAACTGTCAAGTCAAATATTGTTTCTACTTAATGTAATCAATTAGTTAAAGTGTAAACTGTAAAAATTGGCTTAGTTACAATTTTCTTTTAAAAAATGATAAACTAATTTAATTTAACCGAGATTACATTTTTCTCTTTACCAATTATGGATAATAAAATGTGATAACCATCTGATAAATTTCTATTACTTATAAAACATAGAATGTAGACAAGTATGAGTTATCGATTTTCCAGATTGATAATTCATATTTTTTTTTAAATGAAATTAATGTCTCCAACGTAGCAATAGAACTGAATAGACTGGTAAGATTTTTATTTATGTCTCAATGGTTCCTATTGCTTATAAATTCATCTAGACATGTTATCACCTAGAAATCTCGTGTTATGTAACATATTTTTTATAAGAAAGAACTAAATAGTTTGGGTTGTAATTTCTTGGAATAATCATATTTTCTCTGAACAGTGTGTCCATTATTATTACTACTCTGGGGTTTAGACAAATTGTCAACAGACCTAAAATTTTTAATCTCATCCAACTCAATATGGTGGATCAATTGATCCATTTGCAGTGGCTGATACCATATAAAGCATACATTGGTTATTCTAGCCTCTAGACAAGTCAAGTTATCCATTCTCCTTAAGCTAAATTTTGTTCTTGTTAATTACTCGCTTGTCAACTTTGACTGTTTTAATGTTAGCATATTTGTGTGCTCATTTCTTACATTACTCATAACTGGTCTGTAACTTATTTTTGGTCTGACTATAAATAAGGATTAATGCTTGGTTAACTTGAGTCAGTTCACTTTCCATTTCCATTAGTTGTCATTTTGTTTTGCATCGCTACCCGGTCAAGGATTGTATAAAATATACGTATCTTAAAAATCCATTCACGTATATGACTTATTTAATTTCATTATTCACGAATGCGATTTAAGTAGATGACCATATACGAGGGTGGCCAGGATGTATAATTCCATAACAATCAAAATACGATCTACTTGGATTTATATAACAAGGCTATTAAATATTATTTTGATTCATGCTAAAATTCAACATCAAGTATTAGAAAACTGTTTAGTCCTAATTTCCAAATCCAGTTCCGCATTATCAACTGTTATGAAGTGAGTTTGATGAATACTTGAGTAACGTAGGTTAGATAAGGTGAGATCATTTTTTGAGTATATTATTGTATGCCATTTAAATCAAATATTAAACAGATTGTTTGATTACCTTCTCAGACTACATGTGGAGGGAAAATATATAGGAAATGTGGAAACGTTATGATCTGTTATACATAGTCACTTTTATTCAATAGTTGATCTGTGAATGTTAATTTAAGGCATACAAGTTGTGAATTGAGATATCGAATTTTGTTAAAGCTATTGCCTTTAAAGAAAATTCTACAATAGTATTTGTCAAGTTAACTTATTCAGAGATCTGGGTGTTAAATGTTGTATCACATACCATGTTTGGCGAAAGAAATCTAGAATATTGTCACAAACCTGGAAACATGAATACTTTGATTCTCACACTTCATCATTAATTCTATTGACATCACGCCAATATACATTATTTTTATACACCAGGGACATTAACTGTAATCGTGAACTTTTAAAATTATAACACTGTAATTATTTTATATTGAAGCTAGATAAGAATTTTTACATTCGAATTGAATGGCTACCTTTGAAAAAATACGACAGATAGATAACAAAACCCTCAAGCTTCACATAGCTTTTAATCATCAAACTATAAAGTCATCATATTTCTGGTTTGATTTGTTCTCATACCAAACAGAGAAAGCTACACAACGATGGAAGTTCTGAAGAATGTATATGTACATAAAATGAATTTGAGTTGATTTTTATAACATAAATGAAATATACAAACACATTGTAAGTAATACTTTTCAATAAGTTTCCGGGTCTGCAAAATCATGACTTGGTGATACTAGAGTAGAATTATAACGTGCCATATACATGTAAATTGGGCCCTCATTATTAATACGTATACCGGCAACTGGATCAAAACATAAATAAGTCATATCAGCTGACCTTATATCCACATTAGATTTACATTTCCTGAGTTTATTTTCAAGGTGATTGTCATCATAATCATTCATATTCACGTTCATATAGTCTTGACAAATATTTAAATCTTTTTTACGACAGTAAAGATTTTTTCCTGAATCCATTGTAAATGTTTTTAACATACTGATACTATTATTACTGTCCAGTGGTCTATTTAAATTCTGACTGGGAAAAAGTGAATTTCTTCTAACGTCTCCAAATTTGGAATTAAGATGATAATTTGTAGAAAACATATCTTGTTTTGTATGTAGATATTTGTCTAGATCACATTCCTCATCAAATGTTGATAACGATGATAATGTTGAGAAAGACGTTAAAGTTAATGGCTTTTGTTCAAATAATTTATTATCTGTCATATAAATCTGTCGTTTTTCATTATTCTTATTGTTATTATTATTATTATAAGGAATAGGGAATAGCTTACGTACAGAATAATCACTATGTACATTATTTTTAGTCATATTTATCTCTGGAATAATAAATTCCGATGTATTTGAACATACATTATGCAATGAATAAAATTTTGGACGATATAATTGTAAATCATCAGAAAATGTTGAATCTTTAATTTGTTTAGGAATATTTGATGTACTTTTTGGTAATTCACCTTTGATTAGATATTTTTCATTATTGTTATGTACAGAATAAGTTTTTGAATAATTAACAATTAAATTAGAATTATAATCATCCTTCTTTTCATTATGATGAATAGGTTCATGAATAACAATATCTTCTACAGGTTTAATAATACCCAAATGTCTATCTCTACTTTTATATACTTCATTTGATAAACTATTCAATCTTGAATCATGAATTCCTTGTTTTGAATAATGATTATTTGTTGAAGATCTTGATATAGATGTAATTTGTTTTAATGATATTGTATCATGTAATATATTATATATATCAATAGATGCTTTATATGTTAAATTACATATTATACATACATCATTATAATTCATACATTGATATAATTCATATGAACGTTTATTTTTATTTTCATCTATAATACATAACATAAATAATTTAGGATAATTAGGAAATATAAAAAAATGTTTTATTTCTCTATAAATAATTTCTTTACGAAATGGTTTTATACCAATAAAATTTTTTTGTTTTATACGTATACGATCAATAAGAAAATATGTAATACATTTAGATTTTTTATAATTTTTTTTAATATATTTTTCTAATAAATAAATAGCATTATTTTCTGTAAAAATTTCATTATTTTTTAAAAATTTTTGTTTAATTAATTTTATATAACATTGAAAAAATAATAATTGACGTGTTTTATTATCGATTATTTTAGAAATTTCTTTATTGTTGTCATGGTGATTATTATTAATAGTAATATTATTATTGTTATTATATTTGGAATATGTTTGTGGCATTTAGAATATAAGTATAATAATTATAGTAATGATAATGATAATAATAATATATGTAAAAATTATATTTGAAATAATCTCAGCGATTGAATATTGAATAATTCCAATGTTTCGTCCAGCTAACTTGTCTGGACTTCTTCAGGGTAGTAATAATAATAATCGTTATAATTTATCCAGTATTATTACGATATTTATGTATATGAGTTCATTTGTTTTTTTTTTGTTTTTGTTGTTTTCTTTGTTTTGTTTTTCTTTTTGCTTTTTGAAAAATCAACTCACATTAGTTTTTATATTGTTCATTTAAATGGATCCGGGTTTTTTTTTCTTAAAAAAAAGAGAGGAATATATTAAGCATAGAACATTTATGTGTTTATATTTGTTTACACATCATCATTGTAATATTCTTCTTTCAATAATGATTATCATTATATGTCTAAATGAATAATGTAATATAAATGTATGTGTATGTAATTATAATTATATGATTACATCAGGTGTATAGGTGAATATAATAATTAGTGTAAAATGGTATGATACAATATGCAAATTGATTGAATTCTATATCATATGACAATGGTAATTTTGTAAATGTGCTATTTGTTTAAAGTACATTTTTTATAATCAAATAATTGATTATCAATTATTGCTATTAAAATGTGACTTCAGATGGAAGGTGAGATTTGTTTGAAAAGAGAAAAAAAACACTCACAAAGAGAGAGAGAAAAGGTTACAAATGAATCAAAATGTTAATCGTTTCAAAGAGATAACCTATTGGAAGTTGATGTACTTTCTGTTGTCATTCAGTGAATTTATCTTTTGTATTGAGATAAGGAAATACCTTCATTGATTAATTATTATCTTGAAAACTTTATTCAGGTATTATGTTTTAAAAAAATCTGTTCGCTTCGGATTACTATAAGAAAAATGAAATGTTACCAATCAATATATGAGCTAGTATCTCAATAATTAGCATGGAATGAATAAATGTCTTTGGAAAATAGTCTGCATGAGTAGTAATTCTTTTCATTTGAAATTTGTATTCAAGTCATGTTGCCATATATAGACCCGTATTCTCAAGAAGGATTCCAAGATATCGTTATAAAGGTAGTTCCATCGTCCTTCCGTTCCTTTCGCTTTGTTCTTCTCTTTCTTCTCCCCATGTTCCTATGCTGTCAGTAAAAATCCTACTTCCAGTCCTTGATACCTACTACTTATACCTGTCGTAAAAGGTAATAGACACAACAACAGTACTTCTCGTATTTTCGAAAGAAAGTATCGGTTATAGACATGATAACAAAAATAATGTGAGAATTTTAACAGGTTAGTTTTCTCTGTACTCATGTGACTTATTATTCTTAAATACACTGAGAATATATGATAATTAGAGGTATTTGCATTAGTATAAGAACTAGGGATCCTCGAAATATCACAATCTAAGTAGACAGAAATAGGTTAGCACAAATGAGCGTATTATATTTCGAATTCAAAATAAACAGGCATCAATTATAAAGGAATCATTAGTTCACACAAATACCACACAATAGCAAAATAGAAAACTTATGATGGATTTATATCTTACTTTAGCATACTGGCAGATAGTAATCTAGTTAGAAACAGTATTATTCTTCATTTCAATTGACAAGATATAAACAATCATTGTTATATGTAGATGAGTAAAGATCAAGTAGAAGCTATGAATCCGATGTCTAATAGTCTCTGAAAAAGATGTCCGGAAAGTTCTTAATACAACTACCAGAGTAAAATGGTTTAAAATTAAAGTTTACTTCGAATATGTTTTAAAGGTGGTTTACACCTTATGTTAGGATTTTTAAGTCAAATATTCAGTGCTATTTTAAATATTTCTCACTTTTTACTCCGAGCATTTAGTTTCTAGTTTTATTCTTCTTAAATGGTTTCGTTTAATAAGAGTAAGAACCATGAAGGAATAAAAGATAATGAAATAAATAGTATTTTAGAATAACTTAATATCTTAAGATTCTAAACTAAAGGGGATTCCCTATTATAGATGAATTCCCATGATATACTACATTGTTTTGATATTCATACAAACTTATGTAAGTCATAGCTTCAATTAGAATTTTTTGTACAGTATCTGACTAGTACCATGTGTTTCATGCACACAAGTACTAGTTTTACATTGAATTCGATGGCCATTTCAAAATTTATCCTCAATTTTACATTCTACATAGACAGACGCAAAATAAACAAAAACATTTTCATTGAAATCATGAATTAAACATAAGTGACCATAATTGAAAACCCGGAACCACTGGACAGCCACTTCTTTGTGGTATAAAACTCCTCAACACTGAGTTTGAACAAGAGGTTGAAAGTCCTGAGTAAGCGTCTTGCGTGCGGGATCCTGGGTTCTCACTTCTGATGGGTCGCATATTACAATCAAATGACCTTCCAGTGCTACCAGGTTTTCAATTGCGTTTTAACTTAAATTGGTTCATGATCACTATGGAACCTGATAATCTCGACAAATCTATACTAAAAACGATTTTTTTCACTCTCAATATTTTGAAAATCAAAATAGTTATATAATCCTATTTCGAAATTCAAGGAGAAGAAAAATTCCATGCTTAATAAAGGAACATTATAGCCTTGTCAATGTAATTAAGTTTATCGGTTGTTATTTCTTAGAGATCAAATAGAAACAGTTGAATATGAGACATTCAGGGGGGGGGGAATAAATCAACGTTTGGATTAAATTCTAAATCACCGAGAAACAAAACAATGGGATATTTCGTTTGTTAATAACAGCTAATCATTGTCATTTGCTCTTCTATTCAATTTTACTTCATATATATTATTAACACTAGTGGATGTATATATTCTATTATTTGAATTCACTTGACATTGTTTTGTTCGAATCGTCTCATTGATTTTCAGGACTGCGATTGATCAGTCTCTTATTGGCATATGTGTATACTGTGCGAATTGCCTCGATATAGCCTTACTCGCGTCCTGTATTCCACTGCTAGCCACTATCCATCTTTGCTTATTCTATTATTCATTTATTTATTTATTGAAATGTGATTGTTTCATCATTTTATTTAGTTAAATTAGAAAAATATACACTAACAATTATTTAGGTATTTGCCAATCAGTAAATGTTTAGGCCAAATACGTAACCACTACTTTTACTTAGTTTTATTGCAATCAAAATGATTAATATGACCCTAGTCTTAACTGGATTTTTATCATAAATGGTAAACACATACATACAGGGTGGTACAATTTAATCACAGTTCACACTCAATAACTCAACATTTAAACTATCAACACAAATATATATATATTAAAAATAGATTGACGGTTTTTAGGTCAAAATTACGATCTCACTACCATTTTATTAAACTGTTTCTCAGTAGAACTTGGCTGAATAAATGTTAGAATTATTCCATTCGCTGGGACTTTTACAAATCTGTAATGCGTTATGGTTAATTTAACCAATTTCAAACTTTGCAGATGTCAAGAACAAAGATTTGAGCAGAATGATATGAATACAGTTTACTTCGTTTCATTCTCGAAATTTGTAATATTTAAAAATTAATTTTAATACTTGAGATCATGAATTAATTGAAGCTAGACCACGATGGAAAACCTAGAAGCATTGGACGGCCGTTCCGTCCTATTGTGGAACTCCTCAGCAGTGCACATCCAAGATTCCACCTCGCAAGATTCGAACACAGGACCTATCAGTTTCGCGCGAGAGAGAAATTATTATTGCTAAACGGCTTCAAACTACTTACACGAAGTCGTTTTGTTAGAAGTTGCTATTATCATACATCAGTATATTACAAAAATAGTGAAAAACCTCTAACAAACTAAATATAATATTGTAAATTTATATCTTTTGTGAATGTTTTACAATATTGATAGTAAGAAAACTCTAAAAAGCTAGAAACACGTTGCTGCATAATGACGAAACGCTGGTAATAAGTAAGAATAAAACAAGTAAAGCTCAGTTACTTAAAATAAGATTACTAGTTTAGAATAAATGCAATAATGAGGTAATTAATTGAAAGAAAGAGTTAAACAAAGTTTTATCAGACATTGTAAAAATGTTCTTCATCAAATGAGTGAGAGATTAACAACCATCTCCATTTGAAGACATAATTCAGGCTTCTAATGCCCGAAAGAAATGTCTTCAGCAAACTTGGGAGACTCGAGATCGGTTGTTTATTTTTCATCTTTAAAGATTTCAAGGTATTGACCGAAGTTTTATGTCCAAGAGATATCTGCTGATTATGCTATTTAAAGTATTTCTCTCACATGTTCGAAGACTCTATGGAACTTGTTCAAAAATCTAAGGTATATCCTCTTTTCTGTATGTTCATTGTAGCTAACTTGACAGGTAAATGTTAGTTCATAGACACAGTTAATGGTAACATCAAAAATGTACTTGTCGACCTTTGATTGAGTTACAGAACATATTTCATACAGGATAAATAGTTTGATTGCAAGATAACTTCTGGCTAATGCAATGTTAAGCTTCCCGACTATTTCGCTTGAAACGTTATAAACTTTGAAGTTAAGGTGGATAGATATTGATGTTCCGTTGACTTTTGCAACATCCGTCCTAATATCTTCGGCTTTTTTTACATTTATAATTGAATTTTTGTGGGTAACAGTCATCTATTGAGCATTTATAAACGTTTATCATTTCTTCTTTCAGTTTGTCAGTGGTACATATTGTTTCTGATATGAGCACAGTATAATCATCATGAAAAAATAAGATACAATGATCATTGAATTGAATAATCAGTGTGATAAATCTCAAAATACGATGACTGCTTTTTGTATGATTCACGAAAATGTGTAGCATAAACACAATTTTATTAACTAATAACTTAGTTTGCAGGATGGATGCAAACCCATTAGTATAAATCCATCAGCAGTATGAACCAGTCTACCATCAGAGAGAACAAACTATCTTGCAGCTGAGGAGGAAATTAGGAAAATACGTTGAAAGT